AAATTAGCATGTCCTTTCTTAATGGCTTTAGCTATTTGATCATTAAAAACTCATTTGAAGTGCCAACCTCTAGCAGAAGCTAATCACTGGGAGGCGAAGGTAGGTTCCACACTAGGGAAGTCTCATTGTGGCCTGCCTGAAAGGGGGCCTGTTGCTGCCATTCCAGTTTCCCATGTTTGAGTACACTGCTATAGCTTTAAGATGGTATGCATTACAAAAGCATATTTGTTTTACATATTTAACCTAAAACTATGGTAACATGCTTTGGCACTCCCATTTTCTGGTGCTGTTTCAAACTGAGCCAACTTCCTACTTCTAGGTATTACCCAATAATATCTTTATGTTATCTAGTGTTCATAGTTAAGTTTAAAACAGATGTATTTTCTCCAGTTCCCTGGAGTTAATTTTTGAAAGAAAAGAACTCCTTTTGACAATTAAATTCCCCCAGAATTGCCTTCCCTAGGCTCACTCCCTAAATAGCTGCCATAGCTGGAGCTGAGCCAATCCAAAGCCAGAAGCCAGGAGCTTCTTCTGGGTCTCCTGTGCAAGTGCTGGGTTCCAAGTGCTTCAGCCATCCTATGCTGCTTTCCCAGGCATATGGGCAGGGAACTGGACTGGAAGTGGAGCATTTGGGAACCGAACCAGCACCTCTATGGGATGCTGGCGCCATAGATAGCAAGTTGAGCTGGCACGCCACAATGCTGCCCACCCCCCTTCTGCTTGTGAACAAAGTAAAGGCACTTGCAAGGAATGCTCTCCAATTTTCTCATTAGGAACTCCAATTTTAGCTCATTTACTCTTCTTTCTTCCCTCCTTCCAGCTCTCACAGCTGTCCCCTCCTTTAAAATAGTTATCTCTGGATCTGTGCTCTGCTTCTTCTCTTTAAGGAGGGTTTTTATGCATTATCTACCCCTCCTCTTCCCTCCTTTATTAGCATTAGTATTGACAGTTGTAACTTTTTCATTGTCCTTTTCCCTCTAGTTAGGAACTTGGTCAGAAATAAAGTCAAACCGTGCATTCCCCCTATTGTGTTTGTTTTGAAACTCTTATCTAAGGGCTATTCTTCGAAATGTCTGTACAGGGAAAGCTTAACCCATGCTACTCAGAGTCTGGTTTGAATCCCCTCTGCTCTTAGGACCTATTACTGCCAATGCCCACCCTGGGAAGAAAGCAGGTAAGGGCTCAAATCCTTGCCAACTGTGTGGGGGACTGAGTTCTGGGACCTAGTTTCAATCTAGCTGAGCTCTGGCTGTCTTTGTCCCTATATCACACTTTCTGCTTTTCAGATAGAATGAAAACAATCAAAATTAAGAAACCAAAGTATATTCAAAACTGTTTGTTTTCAGAATCTTAAGTACATAAGTGGAGGAAGTGATAGTGTCATATCATGTGAAAATTAATTTGCTACGCTATCTGTATTATGATTCAACTTTCCTTTATTCAAAGATACATAATGTTGGTATAATATATATTTATATATATTTGTATATATATGTGTGTATATATGTATACATTATGTATATTTGTATACATCATATATAAATATACATAATATATACTCACAAAAAGAGTGACTAGAGGAAATAGTGAAGGAGCACATTAATTTATGGTTTGAAATGGTCTAGGTTCCATTTCAGGCAAAATAAATAGCTCTCTAACTTCTCTTCAGAGGTTAGGTCCACTATTTCAAGCACTTGAGTTACTTCCGCTTCCTTTCCTTAATTGTGAAATGTGTGGAAATGCATCACACTGTACCGCAAGTGTTCTCCTCCGGAGTATTCCTACTCAAGTTTTCAAAATTAAAGGTATCCTGGGGACTGCGTTGTGGCACAGTGGGTTAGACCACCACTTGACGTGCTGGTATCCCATAGTGGAATGGCCACTTGAGTCCCAGCATCACGTCCGTGTGCCTAGTGAGGTAGAAGATGATGATGGTCCAAGTGCTTATGCCCCTACACTGCATAACTTCACCAAGATGAAGTGTCCGGCTTTGGCTTGGCCAACCCCTGACTTTGGCAGTCATCTGGGAAGGAAATCTGTGAATAGAAGAAGTGTCAGACTATCGCTGTCAATCTGCTATCAACAAAATAAATGAATAACAGCTCATTGATATTGTCGCATGAAATCAGTCTACCTATTTATTCTTAGACTTCCCTCAGAAATGCTAAGTGGACATGCCGTAGCAAAAGTACAGGCATCTGCCAGGAAACGGAAAATAACATTGTCAATTAATTCCCTCCTACAAGCTGATACATGTTTTCAATATCCTAGGAGGAGAGTTGAACAGTCCTTTTCTAAAAGGGAGACAGAAACTAAGAGACAACCTAGTGAAATCGGACCTATGAGGCTTTTCTGACGGTTGTCAGTGATGCCTGCCTGTGTGTGGTGTGATTTCGAATGGGGAAACGTCACACAAGCCTACGATGGACACGAAAATATTCTAGCAACTCAAACTAAAAATCTGATGAATACATGAATAGGCATCAGGAGAGGTAATGATGAGAATTCGTAAACCTAGGTATGCACATCATGCTGCTTGTGTTTTTTATTTTTTACATCAGCGCTACCCAAAGAACACTCAGGGAATATTTGCAGTGACTAAGAATGTGGCAGCCCTTTTAACCAGCCAGTTTTTCAGGCTGTCCCATCCATGTATTGAAGATGGGAAGTACATGCTCTGTTTCTCATTGTCCCAGTACTGTGTGCCTTTTCAGGGCTCAAGTGACTGTGCATGTTACCTTCCAGTGCAGTGGTGTGTGCCCTTGGGCGTTTCCTGCCTCACCTCTTCTGTGCTCCAGCTTCATGCCCGCCTCGCTGCCCATTCTCTGAATTGCCTCAATGCCTCTTGCAATATAAAATATGGAAAGAGAAGACAAAAACAAAAAGGGTTGTCAAGGATCAGGTTCCAGTGTTTTCTGGTTAACCAACAACATCTCCTGGGGCTATCAGTAAGACAGTTCATTTGCCTAGCCTTCAGACTCCTCTTGGGTGAACCTGCAGAGGTCAGTGGTGGCATTAGGCCTCACGTGGGCAATAAGGAAAATAACATCTGCTCAAGCATTCTGACTGGTGAGTCAGGTTTCCCTAAGTCGATAGTTTAGACAGCTAGTTACCAACGAAAGCGGTCTGTCCTCTAAAGGAAAGTGCAGTCTTGCTCCCACGACTCAAAAGGCCAACCAGAGCACCAGCACTGTGGCACAATGTGTAAAGCCACCAAGTGTGTGCCTGGCATCTCATGAGTGTGTGCCGGGTCCCATGGCTGCCACTCCGCTTCCAATCAAGTTCCCTGTAAATGGCTTGATTCAATAGCCTGACATTGCTAGCAGGTTTGTTGTGCCCTGCATCCTAAGTGGCCGAGATGAAGAGGCTCCTGGGGGTCGCCTTAGTCCTGGATCAGCACTGAGCATTGTGGCCATGCAGCATGGAACCCGTGCACAGAAGCTCGCCTGCTCCCTTTTCTCGGTCTATACTGGGAGCCTTGGACCATTAATTGAATGGTGCCCAATCTCTGTTTTATGAACTACACAAGTCTGTTGATAATGTAAGGGCCAACGGTTAAGATTAGAATTAGGAGAACAAGGGGCCCTACGAGTCCTGTTAGTAGGGTTGTTAGCCATATGGATGTATTAAACCAAAACTCAAACCATCCCCTGAGAGGCTTCCTGTTCTTTTTTCCGTTTTGCCAGTCCTTCCCTGACTTTAGCCATGTTATCATTTATTAGGCCTGAGTGGTCGGCATAAAAGCAGCATTCTTCCCCCATAGCAGCGCACAACCCCCCTTGTTGCAAGAACACTAGGTCGAGTCCCCTCCTCATCCGTAACACAACTTCAGCCAGAGATGAGAGGGATTGTTCTAAGTGGGTAATGGAGTTTTCTATGCGTTCTATGTCAATGTCTATAGCTGTCCTTAATTTGGAGTACTGTTGGTTTTGGGTTACTAGGGCCGACACCCCGGTGCCCAGCCCCCCCCCCCAGGCTGGCTCCTATTAGTAAACTCAGAGTTAGGGCAGTTATGGGCTCCCTTTTATATCTGTGGGTTTTGATTATTTCCCGTTTGTCCTGGATCCTATTTAGGAATTCACTATTTGTATGATACAGAATTTTGGGGACCAATCTAACAAGTATGCAATAATCAGTTGATTTAAGACCTGGAGATGGACACAAGGAGTAAAGCCGGTAGAACAAGCCCACCAGGTCTCATTGTGAGGTATGATATACCGGTTTGCTGGATACACTTTAAGAACAGTATTACAGAGATTTTTTTTCTGTGGGGGACCTGTCCCGAGCAGAGTCCCTGCCCCGTAACCTGTTCTAAAGTTAAACCCTGGTTACGGCTTTTCCATCTACAGTTAGCGGAGGAGGTAGAGCTGGAAAACATGGCGGTTACTGCATAACCTTCATGATAAGGGGAGGGGAGGCTATGTCATAGCAAAGCCAACAAGCCATTGTTAAATTTGGGTTGGTATCATTTAGGACCTGGAAAGACTGGGCAAGCAAATCTAATAGCAGGTGTTTTATAGGAATTTGAGGATCAAGGGTGTTGGGGGCATTAGTAATCCTTGTGAGTCCAGAGGAAATGGTAGGGCTTATTGCGTCGGGTTTAGAGGCAATAATGAGGCCCGCTGTACTGGGGGTCGGCTTTCGGGTTCGTTGAGGATTTACTACCTGATTGGGGCCTATTGCCACCGACTCCTCTGTCAGAAACCTCTGAATGGAAAATATCCCTCCTGGATCCATTCCTTCTATATAGTATCTAACACCCCAGCTCCTTCCATAGGCCCATCTAGGGTCACTGGGGTCGGTTACATTAATTTGGATTTGTTTACATAGTCGGTTGCCGATTTTGTGATTTTGTTTCCTCCCACCACTCCCAAAAGGGCTGTTAGGTATACAATTTTCCGGCCACCATTGTACCTTGATATTTGGATCTTTTCCTGGTTTCAGTATCCAGCTTGATGCTATTGTTTCACACCCCCAGTAGGCACAGAAATAGTGACTGGGATTGTTACAGTAGGTCGGTCCTGAAGCAGGGCACATATAGAAGTCCTCAGCACTTAAGCAGCGGCCAAGAGGGGCTAGAGCACAAAGGGTCGTTACAAAAGATGCAGTCACTGGCCCACCAAGTGGTCCGATCTGTGATTGTAGAACTTTGCCGTTTCTACTCAGCACCCACCAGTACGGTTGATGAGGGTTACTTACAGCCGAAGCTTGACGGAAGGAAAAGAAAAACAAGAGCAAAAGCAAAATCAAAGCTGGCTGGGAGGGTTTTGGGATCGGCCCCCATCTCTGCGCAATTTGAGTCTCCCTGGGCTGGACGGATGTTTGAGGATGCTCCAGGTTTCTCCTCAGGGCTCCATTGTCGGAGGAGCAGGCGGGTCCGTCGGCTGGGCATGAGAGTAGTAGATCCATGCGGCGACCCGTCTACTTTGAGAGCCGTGGGAGTTGTCAAGAGGACGACAAAGGGGCCCTTCCATCGAGGCTCGAGAGTCTTGCAATGATGTCTCCGAACCAGGACCCAATCCCCCGGTTGGAATCTATGAGGGGTAGGTGAGAAGCAGTTTCATATACAGCTTTTAATTTAGGCCAAATATCCTGGTGTGTTAGCTGGAGCCGACGCACAGCGTCCAGGACATCCTGGTCATCTAGAGCAGCAATCAAATAACTGTAAGCGAGGTATTAGGGGAGGAGGTTTACCATACATAATTTCAAAAGGAGTAAGGCTTAGCTGATAGGGGGAATTTCTAACCCGGAATAGAGCAAAGGGAAGGAGAGTTACCCAGTCTGCACCAGTCTCTAAGGCCAGTTTAGTTAAGGTCTCTTTTAGAATTCTGTTCATTCTGTTCATTCTTTCTAGAGTTCATTCTTTCTTTTAGAGTTCTGTTCATTCTTGTCCTGAGCTTTGGGGCCGGTATGCACAATGTAATTTCCAATTTGCCCCCAGTGCAGTGGCCATTCCCTGGCTTACCTGCGAGATGAAAGCCAGGCTGTTGTCTGACCCGATCATGGTGGGAAATCCATACCTGGGCATGATCTCTTCAACCAGTTTTTTTGCTACCATGTTGGCAGTTTCATGTGTTGTGGGGAAGGCTTCAGTCCATCCAGAGAAAGTATCTATGAATACTAATAAATATTTATAGCCAAATTTTCCTGATTTAATTTCAGTAAAGTCAACTTCCCAGCCCATACCTGGTCGGGTTCCCCTAATTCTTGCACCTGAACTGTTGGGGGCCAAACAAGCGTTAGTTAACCGACAGGTGCCACACTTGGAAACAATCTCTTTGATAAGGTAGTTGTCATCGGGTATTCTCAGGTCGGATTGCTTGAGCAGGCTCTGCAGCTTTTTAGTTCCCAGGTGGGAAGCCTGATGGATTTTCCTTAAAATGGTCTGGCCTAATTTGTACGGTAGGATGACTCGTCCATCTGCTGTCCTCCACCAGTCTTTGTCTAGGTGGGCCATGGGTTGATCATTTATCCAGATTAGGTCTTCAGGAGTGTATTGGGGGGTCTTTGGCAAATCTCGTGCCCCTGGGTCCACCAGGACAGGAGTAATTTTCCTGGTTTCAGCTATTTCTTTGGCAACAATTCACATTTTGTACATGTGAAGTTTCCCATTCAAGAAAATCCTAAGGAATTGAGATCTGATTTAGTCACAGTTGTTACAGTTAGCAGAACACTTTCTTAAATCAACCAACAACTCCTGCCTAATCTCTCCACAAACATAAAAGAAATGAAAAACAAACTATGTTCTTCAACAGTTCAGTAGTAAGAGCATAAGAATATTATTCCTGGCCGGTGCCACAGCTCACTTGGCTAATCCTCCACCTGTGGTGCCAGCACCCCAGGTTCTAGTCCCTGTCAGGGCACCAGATTCTGTCCCGGTTGCTCCTCTTCCAGTTCAGCTCTCTGCTGTGGCCTGGGAAGGCAGTGGAGGATGGCCCTGCACCCCATGGGAGACCAGGAGAGCACCTGGCTCCTGGCTTCGGATCGGTGCAGTGCACCAGCTGTAGCGGCCATTTGGGCGGTGAACCAATGGAAGGAAGACCTTTCTCTCTGTCTCTCTCTCACTATCTAACTCTGCAAGTAAAAAAAAAAAAAAGAATATTATTCCCATATGAAACTTGTATAACTTAAATAAAATTTAATAAAAGAATACTATTCTGGATTAAAGAGGAAAAACACATATTCACTGTAATAATTTTATCAGTTTAAGAAAAATTTTAATTTATTTTTATAGAACATTTCAGATTCCCTCATGTCATAGCAAAAGCAACATGTACACATACTAATTTAACCTACACATCAAGTCCCAAATTCCCAATCCTAGATATCAAGTTGCAAAAAGCAAGTGCTGACTTCTTTAGGTAGCATTTTTAAAAAAGTCCTCAGCACTTAAGTGAAATGAGACTTTAATCAAAAAAGAGACTGAATTCCACAGGGCACGCTTTCCCAAACAGCAATTAATTCAGTCAAGTCTGTGATTCCAAGCTCCAGTGACAGTGTTCTGCTTGAAGCAGACAAAACAAAGGCAGTCAATGCTAAAGCTGTATATTTCAATATGTACAGTATTTTTTAACTGCATTCAACTTTTAGAGTTTGTTTTGGAGTGTAATGAAACAAAAGAATTAGAAGGTCTCAGTCCACTTTGAATATTGCAATTATAGTAATTTTTTTTTCTGGACACAAAGGTACATTACAACACTGGTGGTCTTGAGTCAACTTCCCACTAATTGATTCAGCAAAAGCATACTTCCTTCAGTTATAACTCCGATTAAGAAACACATACATTTTAACATAAGAAAATTCTGTACTTCCAGTTTCAAAAAGTAGACAGTTCTATGAAGACAAAGCCATTTAAATATGAGTTTACATACACCTTTAAGTTTCTACAACTTAATGCCTTAAGAGGAATTTTGATTTCAGAAATACCATTTCACAGACCAGCATCATGTATTTATACTTGAGTTTTATACAGTATGCTATAAAGTGTAAATGGTAAAAATAATCAAATAACATAATTTTACAAAATTCAAGTTTCCAGTGATCTTAAAAAAGTATAATTTAGTTCACAGAGATATTGTTGTAGTTATCTAGAAAATCCTAAAGTTATATGAAAAAAATTAAAATTGTCATTTTAATAATTTTCAACCTTGTAATTAAACACAGCCAAAAAGAAAATAAAAGGCTGGTCTAGCATAAGTAATCAAGTCAAGGAGTTTTACAACCTTGAGCCACTATTTGGAATCTACTTTAGCTTTTACATAATTTTTACAGTCTTATTAACACCATTTTTATTAAGAAAAAGAAATGACCTTTTGAAATCATTGGCACCCAAAATGGCACTTAAGGACAAGAATCACAACTAGGAAAAAAATGAATCTTGGCAAGCACAATTTCTCTCAAAGAATGAAGAATGTCTTATAATTAATACAGAATGAAAGCAATAATTTAGAACTCTTGGGAAGCTCATATTTCTTTATTTTTATTTGTGTGTTACTAACAATCTAAGGTAAGCATTATATTCACTTTCAAAAGCAACGAAGGAAAGTAAAAAAATAAAACAAGAAAAACACAGCCCGGAGCATTCCAGGAGTTTGGTTTTTTTTAAATAAAAGATTCTCTTCTTCCCTTTCCTTTGGGCACACTGGCTCACTTCGGTTCTCCACTTTGTTACAAAAATACAAAACCAAAAACAAATCTCTGCTCAAAGTCGTCCTCCTCAGTGAGACTATTGAGATTTGCTTATGATTTCTTTTTTACTTTCCCAGCTACTCAATCCCTAAAATCTAAATATTTCAGTGAAAAATTTTTTGCATTTGCTTGAAGACAGCCCCTAATAACCTACACTGAAAAGGGAACTAAAATCACTGGCTGCAGTCAGGATCATCAAGTTTCCTGTTTTATTATTATTATTTTTAAATATAACAAAGACAAAAGCTCCAGCTGGAAATTCACACAATTCAGAAACGTGTCGAAAAACATTTATCACAATCTTTAAGATTTCTAAGTAGGCCAGCGCCGCGGCTCACTAGGCTAATGCTCCGCTTGCGGCGCCGGCACACCAGGTTCTAGTCCCAGTTGGGGCACCGGATTCTGTCCTGGTTGCCCCTCTTCCAGGCCAGCTCTCTGCTGTGGCCAGTAAAGGCAGTGGAGGATGGCCCAAGTCCTTGGGCCCTGCACCTCATGGGAGACCAGGATAAGCACCTGGCTCCTGCCATCAGATCAGCGCTGTGCGCTGGCCACGGTGGCCATTGGAAGGTGAACCAACAGCAAAGGAAGACCTTTCTCTCTGTCTCTCTCTCACTGTCCACTCTGCCTGTCAAAAAAGAAAAAGATTTCCAAGTAAAGGTTCCCAACTCCAATAGGAAAACTATGGAACTGCTAGATTAGCAAGTGAAAATAATTAGCCATTCAAATTCTGTTGGAAATGTCTGAATCTGTATAAAAGCTTCCTCTTATATAGGGACTGCAGTATCTGAGTCCCCAAGCTAGCTAGCTAGATCATGGAGAAAGAATTCTTTTGACTAGAGTTTACTCCAAAATCAACTTTCCCAACTCCTTTCTTTTCCCCAAAAAGTGTTCAATCACACTTCAAGAAGGGGAAGTACTGAGGCAGGGTGTTTTATATGGTACTGCACCCTTTAAGAAACGTACAGTTTAGTGAACCGGGAAACTTTTCACACACACTTAAACTGATGTATTTGTAGACATTATTTATCTGTGTTGAATAAGATACACTGTGAGAAAGTGTATTTTGGTTCAAAGGAGAAGCTGAAATAACTGTAGTGCGATCATAAACCCATTAGAGAACTAGCATAATTTAAAAGGTCAGTATATGTTTTAACAATTCTGATATTTTTGTTATTTGGGCTTAATTTCACATTCTTTTCCTTTCTTCTTTTGATTTTGCATCTCTGAGGGCACTTTTTACTTGTAAGCTGTGTTTGAGACTATACAGAATATGCTAATCAACAATATAAATATAAATAACCTATAAGCACTATCATCTGTACACGTATGGACAGACTCCAGCCTCAGACGACTGATGTTGTACTTTCAGGATTCACCCGCATGAGTCTAGATGCGTTCCTCAGGTCTTGGAGTTGCTTGGCAGGTTTCCCCACACCTTCTTCAAACCTTTTTTCCACCACCGGGAGCACCGTTTCATATAGGAAGGACGCATTCTGTCGGATAAAAGCCTTCTTCTCTGGATCCTGCTCGCACCGAAGGCTATAATCCACATGCTGGACGGCAACCAGAATGATTTCCACCAGGCTCTCCAACAGTACCATGTGCAGCTCCGGGAAATACAGCTTTAAGGCCTCTTCCAAAAACGCCATGGTCTGTTTGGTGAAAGCGACCACTGTGTAACTTAGGTTCACCCAGCAGTCATCCCCCGTATACTGCTCAAAGTTACTCACCCCGCAACTTCTCATCTCTTCTTTGAGCTTGCCCAGGGCCTCTGGAGTCATCAAGTTCATCCTCCTCCACATCTCCTCCGAGTTGCGATGTTTGGTGGCTTCAATGATGATTTCTTTGTAACTGTGCAAGGCCCCCTGGATGTCTTTCACCAGAAGGGCGTGGATGATGAAGGTGAGGTCTAGTCCAATATCTCCCAGCTGCTGGCAGTGCTCCTTAGCCACTTTGACGCACTCTGCCGCCGTGGACAGGCTCTCCTTGCTATCAAACACCTGCTTGCTGAAAGCATCTACAAACATGCCCATGGCTGATCTCGCCCAGACCACAAAGGCAGAGTAGCAGCCACTGTCGGTGCCGGCGAAATCTGTCTCAAATTCTCTGGCAGTCTCGAGAAGACACGTAAAGAAGACATGGCACAGCTTATGAATATAGAGTAAAGTGGCACCTTCAATGCGAAGCTGACGGATGGCCGTGTGCACGGCTGCCGCTCTGTTTCTCAAAAACAGCTCGCAAGCCTTTGTGCACTGGCCAAGCCGGATTAGCTGAGAAACCGCCCTGCGAGTAGCCTTGGGCCCACCTCGCAAGGAACGATCTGGGGACAGTTCAAAAACCAGCACCTCCGTGAGCTGCCGGACACGCTCATCCACCTTGGCCCTGAGTTCTTTTACAGGTGGGCTGGGCTTGTCTTCTAGGTAATGATTCAATTTATCTAGCAGGTCAACGGCCCCCTCAAAGTCCCTCTGAGCAATGCACACATCCAGGTCTTCAGGTAACTCCTGGATCCACTCCATCGATAAGTCCACCTTCTCTTCCTCTACCTCGGGGACAGCTGGCTCTTCTTCATCATCCTCAAACGGGTTCGTGGCCTTGGAGGTCACTTGGGGAGGCCCTCTAGGGGCCGCTGCTTCCTCCTGTTCCCTTCGTCTTTTTTCACTGAGTGCCCTCTTGGTTTCTTCCAGCACCTCCAGCCACTCTCGTTTTATTTTGGCATTTTCTGCCTGAAAAATGCGACTCTCGGGGAACATCAGCAGCTTGAACATGTCCTTCATGGGTGGGTTGTCCTTGACATTGACCACGGCCAGGCCATCTAGGGGATAGAGAGCGTTATAGCGATACATCCCCCGCCGCTGGGGCAGCCAGGTGGCCACACCAGCAGACAGTCGTTCATGAGAAAGCCGTGCACCCGCTGCAGCTGGGCCATGTGATCCGCTTCGTATTCCACCAGGTCCCCGTTGTACACCAGGTACTGCCCCGGGGTCTCCAGCAGGTGCCTGCAGCCTTCCACCTTTTCAAGCTGGGTGGTCAGAGTGCGCTGCTTTCCTTCCTCGCCCGGGCCGGAACTGTCACGCGAGGCGCCCCCGGGCCTGGGAAAAAAGCCGGCCTGGCCTCGGAGGTGGTCTCGGCCCCCAGCGCCACCTGCCCCCTCTTCCCCGCCGGCGGCGGCGGCCGGCAGCAAGGTGAGCGGGATGCTCTCCAGGCTGCTCTCCTGTTCCGTCAGGAGATGGCTGAGCTGGTACATCTCGCTCTCCAGGTAGGAGATCTCGCGGGCCGTCTCTAAGAACTGCCGGTAGTTCTGGTAGACGCTGCGTTTCAGGTTTTGCGCTGTCTCCTTCGCCAAAGCCTGGATGCGCTGCAGGTGCTCCTGGAGGTCCCGGTCCCCGTCCGGCTGCTGCGAGAGCTGCTTCACGTACAGCCGTGCCTCAAAGCCCCCTGATTCTAGCTGCGGCTCGCTCCACTGCCCGCCATTGCCATCGCCATTTCCGTCTGGGTCTCAGGCAGTCACTGTCACTGTTGCCACCGCTGTGGAGACCCACCCAACTCCAGCCGAGGTGCAGGGCTTAGAGAAGCAAGATACGAGCAAGACGAGTACGCCTGCACCCGGGTCTGAGCTGCTCACACTGCGCCTGCGCAAGCGGCTGAGCGTAGACCTTAAGACTGCACAGGAGCGCCCGCGAACTAGAGCGCACGCGCAGGAGGAGTTATTGCGGAAGCGTGGAGCAGGCGAGAGGGCAAGGCTTGAGTACTGCGCATGAGCAGAGCGTGAGGTTGGGGTTTGAAGTTCCTGCTGAAGCGTAAACGCGATAACTAGCTTCCTGAAACCGTCCTGGGGCCGAGCCCCGGGTTCTGCTCCAGTTTCGGAGGTGTGATGGCAAGTTTCTTGTTTAAGCCCTAGAATCTTGCCGTCGGCGTTCGGAGCAAACTCGGTTCTGGTTCCGGTTCTCAGTTCAGTTTTCCCCGAGTTCTGGCGAGATTGGCAGAGCGACCCCGAGAGCAGCCCGAGAACCGGTATCCTAGGAGCTTGAAGCCTCTGAAACGTTTTTGCTGCCTGAGTCGGGAGTCAGCCTAACGCCAGGGAATCCCGACTGGGATCCTGGCAGTGATGGATGAGGACCTGGTTTTGGCACTTCAGCTTCAGGAGGAGTGGACCTTGCAGGTTGCGGAGCGCGATGGCGCCCAGGAGCCCCTGTCGCTGGTAGACGCGTCCTGGGAGTTGGTGGACCCACGCCGGATTTGCAGGCCCTGTTTGTGCAGTTCAACGACCGGTTCTTCTGGGGCCAGCTGGAGGCCGTGGAGGTGAATGGAGCGTGCGCATGACCCTGTGAGTCCCGAGCTCCGCGGGGGAAACCGAGGCGGAGGGGGCCGCACTTCTTGCCCGAAGACTTCTTTTTTGGGCTCGCCAGTCCCAGGGGAGTTAAACCAGAGAGTTTGGCTTTGGACCCTTGATGTGTTTCTCCCTTCTTACCCAGTTCAAACAGCTAAGAACGCTATGTGGCTCACGCTACTGTGGTTGGAATTAGAAAGAACATAATGAGGGGGGAAAAGACCAAGAGAAGAAGAAAAAAGACAGCTCGCCCCACTTGAAAGTCACACGTTTCTAACTTTCCTATGCGAGTGCTCTAGAAAACAAGAGGGAGAAGCACTCAGATCTTTCCAGAAAGGGAGCTGAGGACGCAGAAAAACTTCCGAAGGCTGCGTGATGGCCAAGGTAGCAAACCACCACTTGGTGTGGTGAGCTAGTGTTTGGAATGGGGAGGGAGTTGAGGTTCCCATATTTCTCGACTCGGGAGCTCTTTGGTGATGCTTCTAAAAGGATCGCCTCTCTACACATGAAGTTTGAGAGCTGCTGATTTGAGTTGATAATCTGCACATTATCAGAGTTAAGTTTCAATTACCACTTTGCCATGCATCTTTTTTTGACCGAGAAAAACAGATTTTCCATTTGCTGGTTGTCTTCCTAAATATCCACAACAGAGGGTGGGGTGAGGTTGGGGGTGGGGAGGGGGTAGGCCAGATTGAATGCAAGAGCTAGGAACTCCATCTTGGTCTCCAACACAGGTGACAGAAACTCAAGTAGTGGGGCCATCATCTGCTGTCTCCCAGGGGCATTAGCAGGCAGCTGGTCACTGAAGCAGGGCTGAACCTGCCGTGTCACAGTGCCTGCCCCCCACGGTTGTTTTTGATTTGATACAAAACAACCTACAGTAGGACAGATTAAGGTGTGATACAAAAATCATGTTTAAAGTACAAATCTCTTTCATATATGCTGCTGGACATCTGCTTGTTAACCACCACAAACTGATGATAGCTTGTGGGGGGAAGAGGCTTAGAGTAGAACAGGATTGTCCTGGGTGAGCTCTTGCATGCAGCCTGCAATGGTGTGGGAAGCCATTGCTCTTCATGAACAGAGATGAAGCACTACTGTCTGTTCCCAAAGAGGATATACTTTCCAGAAAGCTCTCTCCCAATAGAGTGTATAAGAATCTGTTTTGTTTCTCTTTTGTATGTCTGCTTGATAACTGTAACCCATTTTTGTGGTGGTTGTTTTCCAGGTGTGCTGGCATATGCAGCTATGAAGGAAGTGGTGGAATGTGTTCCATCCGTCTTAGTGAACCCCTTTTAAAGTTGAGACCAAGAAAGGATCTTGTAGAGGTATTCTTTGAGTAAACCTGATTCTTAGCTCAGTAATTTACAGATGCTTGTCACTGATTTAGATTGCTTTGAACTAACTTCTACATTTAAAAAGAAACATTTTTCTCATAGAATGCACTTGAGTTATGGGGCAAATAATAATGAGTACCTTCTACTTTTACAGTGCTTCAAAGTTAAGAAAGGATTTTAGGTATATTATCTCGTATCTTATTTAATCTTTATGATAGCCCTAT